GTCCCCGACCCATTATGCTGTCTCAGTCGTTTTATGCAAGAAAAATTCTGAAATTATGCAAACTGAGCCCCAAAATGTGAAATTATGCGATTCTGTTAATTTGAACAAAGAATGATAAAGGAAAATAATTAGAAATTATGGCAAAAAAATGATCAAATTTTGCTAAATTATGCGGGGTGCATAAAACCACGGGGACAGATTATGACAACAGATGAAACAACCCCACCCCCACCCCAATTTCCTCTAACAGACTCACGCAATAACTCAGACTCAGATTTGTTTATTTATTTACTTTGGTTTTTAAAAGTTTTTTTGTTATTTGTTTTTATAATTATTTGTTTGTTTTGTTTGATTTGGGATGGAGTTCAAATACACAATAATTAAATTACCTGGTCTAATGTATGCATTGTTAAATTTGTCTTCAGTCTATGCTGGTGTGCCGAAACAAGTTCCGCCAGCTCCAGCTCCTGGCTCCCCTGGGCTTCAAGATGCCGGACAGCGCCACCTACGGCACAGACACGGCCACGGGGCTGACACAGCTCGTCCAGGCTCCGCTGGCCATTGACTTCCCCGCCATCCTCAAGTCTGCTGACGCTAACGGGGTTAGTAGGCTACTGATCTTACCTTTACCGTATCTCGACGAGTACTTCTCCGTCTGTCTGTTGGGACGTTGTCGTGTCCCTCCCAGCCCGGGTTGGCCCTGACGGGGGGGGGGTCGTTTGTTTGTTTGTTTTTGCGTTTCGATGGCTTCAAGGCAAAAGGAAAGCCAAGGAAAAGATGAATTGACGGAGTGAAAGAGACCCCTCACCCCCAGGAATTAACATGGCGATCCAAACAGCAGCACGCCTCTTCCATGTCAGACAATTGTATATCTCCACTCGACACCTTGTGGTATAAGAGGACAGACATTATAGGGGAAACTATCGTGAGGTGGCGCGGGGAGAACGAGACGTCAGGTCTTTGCAAACTGAATAAAGTTTCTGAAGCCGGAAATTGCTAGCTTTGGAGGTGTCCTTTACTCCCTCGAATTACCTTTTCCAGGGTCTTCCTCTCGCTCTGTAGTCAGGTATTTTTGTGTTGTAGGCTTTTGCAAAGATTGAATTATATCATGTGTACGAGTGAGACGTCCACATCATTTGATTCTTTGCTTTTCAATTTATGCTGCTGGACTGGAATGGTGCCCATTATTTCTCTGATAGCTGAATGGATCGTGAGTTACCTTCACAACCGTGGGCTAAAACGGCAAATCAAAGGGACAGTCTGGCTCCTTAATAAACGAATAATCATCCAAAGTTGTTTTTCTTTATTTCTAAAGGGCTCTCGCGGTCTAGAGGTTAAGGTGTTGGCCTTTCATTCAAAGGCGACCGAAATATTTTCTTCTCGCAAATTGTCTCCTTTCACCTCATTTCCTTCTCTCTTGCAATGTTCTGTCGTCTGATTTCGTCTCCTCTTTCTGCCCCCAGAGAAAAACGTGCCTCTAGGCTCCTGACTCTTTCTGCAGCCTTTCTACTGCTTCTCCTTGGCTCCTTAATTCTTACTGCTGTCTTTCAGCCACACCCCTGATCTTCTGGTAGGAAAGATCTACACCTAGCCTTCTCGGACAAGGGCGAAAAATCTCGGAGGGCCCGTGTGCAAGTTGCGCACGTTAAAGATCCCTTGCATGATCTGAAATCGAGAGATATATACATACACAAGAGTAGGCTTCGGCCGCCACCCGGGCAAAAGTCAAAATATCCTACCAACTTAAACAGTTTAATGTGTCTCACGCGCTCATATGACCTTATTAAATTCGAAGTCGCCAGCACGGTAAAACATTTATAAAGATTTTAAAAATTTTAATTGCAAACTCCTAAACTCCAAAATAAACTTGACCATTATCGAAGAAATGTGGAAAGGGGGGGGAGAGGGGGGGGGGATCGAGTCACAATTCACAAACTTTTCATAACAACAACAACAACAACAACAACAACAACAACAACAACAACAACAACAAAAACAACAGCAACAGCAACAACAAGAACAACAGATTTCACATGGGTGGTTGGAGGGTGCCAAAGGTTGGTCCTACTTTTTTACTTTTCTCTGTTGTTTCTGTTTTCTCTCTGTTGTTTCTGCCTGTCTGTCTTACTTTTCCCCAGCAGTGAATGACCATTACATGTACTGTGTCGATGTGCTTCTCATTAGTCAAACAAACAAACAAACAAAACAAACAAACAAACAAACTGCACACCCTTTTGAGTTGTTTTTTTTAAAAGGGCAAACGAGTGATGCTATTGCCCTCGGGGGACGTGGCGGAAGACATACGAGGCAGTCTCCTTGACGACAGCGTCTACCTGCTACAGGAGTACATCAAAGCCAGCCATGGCGTGCACTTCAGAGCTCTGTGTGTCGGCGGGAAGGTAGAGGCAGCCTACAAAATCCAGAACACTGTCAACACCCGAGTTCAGTCAAACTGCGTCGAGGGTAATGAATGTTTTATCATAGTTGATAATAGTTGCAATTATAATTTTATATTATTATATATAGATCTAAGTTCCAATTCCGAATTCTTGGAGATTTTGCCACAGACGTCAAATAAACCTGTTGAGAAATCTTCCCTTTGAACCCCAAATTATCACGGTTAATCTAGCATCTGCTTTTGATGCCATTCTTTTGTCCAAAAGTTGCCAAAAGTTGCCACAAAAATGGCAAAATTTGCCATAAAAGTTGCCATTTATTTTCAAGCTTTCAACTCTCTGTGAAGACGTATAATATAGCAATACATTGATAGAGGCAACTTAATCTAAAGCACCAGCATTTCTTGTGCTCTGTTTTAAGCATCTTGAATATCATTTGTAGCCACACAGTGTAAAAAGGGGGAAAATAAAGGTTTCACAACAGAATGAATAAGAATTAGAACAGCACATAAACAACCACAAAAATTAACAAGTATTATAAGGGCGTGCGTCTTTATATCCGAAGATTGACTGTTTTAACCCTAAACGTGAGTAATTCCAGAAAAAGTACCGGACATTACAAGTAAATTATGGAATTACACATAAGGGGCGTGTGTCAGTATACATGTGTTCGGTTTTGGTGGAAACACGCTCTAACAGAACACATTTATATATTATAATCAAATGAGGTAGTGCTTGATGAAGCCCACGTGGGACGCTCAATGTTAAAAACAATCAGGAAACGACAAATGCAGTTTTTGGGACACCTGAAGAG